CCCGGTCATTGGCATATCAACAATCATCCAATTTCCCATCTAATTGTCAATTAGATCATAACCTCATTGTGCCAAAAATGAATATTTTTGTTGTATACAACTTCAAACTAATAACAAGTGAGATTCTATCATATGGCACTATTATTTAGTACAAGGAGGACATGATTACTCACAAGAGCCACCTAAATATGAAAATCCCAAGAGACATTTTAAATCGTTCAAAGTCACATCAACGGCTAATAATACCTTTGAACTCCCTGTAAAAACACAAATGATCTTTACTTATTTTTCTTGTATTATATATATAAGTAAAGACCTCCTTGTAAAAACACAAATGATCTTCTTACTTATTTTTCTTGTATTATATATATAAGTAATGATCCTATAAGACCTTCCTCCACCCATGTATGTAGGACTCCAAAGGATTATCATTAAAATTGGCACGGATCTCTAAAAAATTATCATATGGGTGTGGGATTTGATTTTTCTATAGATCCGTGCTAAATTTAATGGTAATCCTTTAAAGTCCTACATACATGAGTGGTAAAAAGTCCTATAGGATCATTTGTCTATATGTATTGACAATTTAATAGGAAGTAGAATGGTTATATTTTCTTCACATGTGAGTTAGCCAAAGGACAGCAGTAAATATTAATATACTATTTATTTATGAGATGGTAATGCGTATACACGACCTAGACGCTTAAATAGTGTAGAAGCCCCCTTCAACTGTTCAAATTGAACCTAGCATCATCAAATGGCCTACAAAAATAATTTTTTTATTTTTTATTTTTATTTTTTTTATTAAAATATATTTATATAAAGTTTTATATAATGATGACACCTTATAATGGAGAACTACATATGCCCCTCAAAAATCCATTGGAAAAGGTAGTTTTAATATTGAAAAACCCTTTCATTGATCATCTCGACATCGAGATGTATGACTAGGAAAAAATAAAAAGATTTTCAGTCTTAGAAATAGTGCATTTTACAACATATTATCTATACCGTCCATTTTCAAGATTTTCATATGTTTATAGATCTACTTGATTTTAACTATTTTTTAAATTTAAAATTTTATAATTAGATATAAAAATAGATTTTGAGATAATCCTAATAACATTTTACATCAAAATTATATACCATGATAAAATTTGAAGGTGCACCTTACCTCTATACCTACGGATGCATCCCTATGCAAACTGCACCCTTATATAAAATTCGGGGTATAGATTCATTTTTATATGTCACCCCAAATAAAAATAATAAAAATTATTTTATAGGTACTTTGATCAAAATGTTTATTCTAAATATTATTATTATTATTTAGTGAAAATATAAAAAAGCATCTACACTTCAATTTAAATAAAAATAAAAATAAAAAGTAAAATTAATTTGTTGTTGTTGGATGCAACATTGTTCAATGACTGACACTCATTGGTTGTATACCGTACCAATTTAAGTGGTCGGGTCATGACGTGATATTTTGAGTTCTATTCTTACTATAGGTAGAAGCCGCTAAACTACCGAAGAAAAAGAAAAAAAAAAAACAAAAAAACTCACGCAGCATTCACAATGACAGGTTAAGGAAGCAGAATTAAAATAGATTAAATGTTTCATCGTCAGTGTATGATATCACTAAAGCAAAAGTTTGAGCGCTCGAGTGAATAAAGTAAGTGTCCTAAATGTGGGAAACATGCTACCATTCAACTACTTGATTTAGGACAAGGTTTTGGTGCGTCATCTACAAATGGATTTTGGGATCCAAAATTTCACTTCCTCGGAGATCATCAAATCCGCACCATGTTTAAAGTTGCAAATGATATGAAGTTACATTTTTCGATACTATTTGAGATTAGGCTTTAATTTGATTGTTTAGAGCCTCAGCTCTATACAAACTACACCTTTTTTGTAAAGGGAAAAGTTTATATAGAGTCGAAGCTCTAAACTATCAAATTTGAACCTACATAAAAAATTTCACTAGAAGAGGTTGTTTTGATATTCAAATATCGTCAAATCGATCATCTCGACGTCAAGATGCATGGACATGAGAAAAAAATAGATTACAAGTTTTAGAAATAGTGTATTTTGTAACACATTTTTTTACTGTCAATTTTCAAGTTTTTCTAGATATGTCAATTTGCACTATTTTTTAAGCTTTAAACTTTATAAATAAACATGAAACTATATTTTAAGGCTATCACAAAGATTTCCAATATTGAAACTACAAATCTTTATACTATTTGAAGACATGCTCTAATTTGATTGTTTAAAGTGTAGGCTCTGTATAAACCACACCTTTTCATAAATCAAAACCAAAATGGACTCTTACGTCAGGTCATGGGAAGCACAATTGAATTTATTTTATTTTTTTCTTTAATTTAATATGAGCAAGCTTTTTATGCCTCCCCTACATCATTAAACTTATATACTTCACCCTATCCAATCGTCCACTTTGAATGAATGGTTGAGATGTTCTCAATCACAATGTCACATCTATATATTAATTTATTTTAATTTTTTTTCTACAAACCAGTTTGACACCTGTAAAAACTATTAAAACAACATTCCCAGTAAATTAAAATAACCAAAATACCCATGTAACCTTTAAAGAGTGTTTTGGTTATTATATTTAATTAAAAAATTATTTCTAATATATTTTTTAGATGTACCCCATTGATGTGATGATACGTACAAATTTCATATTCCTAAAATAGATATACAAAAACTAAAAATAAAATACTTTGAGGAGTCGGATCAAGATCAAACGGTCCGTGGCCCACTTGATCTAAATTGGATGACTAGAAGAGGAGGGAAGTATGTCTTCTATGTAGTATGGGAAGTATGTCAACATTTCTCATTTATTATATAATGGCACATTCAGTATATATAAAAAAGCAAAAGTTTATATCGAGACAAGGCTCTAAACAATCAAATTTGAGCCTACCATTAAAATTTCACTAGAAGAGGTTGTTTTCGTGCCCAAATTGCCTCAACGTGATCATCTCGACACCAAAATGAATAGACATGAAAAAAAAAAGATTTCTAGTTTTGGAAATAGGGTATTTTGTAATGCACTTTGGACCGCCAATTTTCAAAATTCTTAAGTTTTTATAGATCTATCAATCTACACTATTTTTTGAAGCTTTAAACTTTATAAAGAAAGATGAAAATATATTTTATGGCTATCACAAAGATTTTCAATCGTGAAACCACATTTCTCGATACTATTTGAAGGTAGGCTTAAATTTGATGGTTTAGAGCCTAGGCTCTGTACAAACCACACCCATGTAAAAATATCTCTGTGAAAGTATTTTTACATTAAAAAAGTCTCCCTCATAAGGGCATGAGTTTTTTTCACATCAACTGGCTGTCAATTTGTGTGAAAAAATACACCACAACTAATTACTATAAAAAATTTATGAAACCTAATAACATGATGGAGTTTATTCGTGTAAAAATACTTAAAAACGTGCCCTAAATAGGAAGAGTAAGGAGCTAAATTTTTTTTTTTTTTTCTTTTATTATT